TACACTCGACTTTCATGACCGCGTTGGTCCATTCCCGGCCCATCGGCTGCGAAAGCCAGACACTAGAATTAGGGAGAAGAGAGCGAGAGAGGAATTCGCTTTATTTGGAAAGTATCAATTCGAAATTTTCAGCAAAAATGGGCTCCATCCAGTATGGGCAGCAAATATGTTAATAGATTACTCAAGAGTCCACATGTTTAACACAAAAGGAACGATTATTATGGGGACAGTTCAAGTCTTAGCTTCAGTACTCCTATCTCTTCACACGTAATAAAGGGCACAAGGAATGGCAATACAGAATCTCGATATGACAGGATAGCAATATAGAATAAGAAGTAGGATGCATTCACCTATGAATCGCCAGATTAAGGGTTGAGGTATGTGGTAGGAACTTAAACGACGAATGTAATAAAGATGTTCATGCACTTTAGTATATAGGGATTAAATATGGAGGGAAAATGAAAGATTTGATGACAAAGTAATGGAAAGGAACCTGAAAGAGGATACCACGTTAGGCAGGATGCCAAAGGAATTTGGACTAGGAGAGGGCCGCAGTCAGAAATACACTTGACTATTTCCCTCCGATCATACTAGGACGTGGTCGAGGCCATACTTCAGAGACTGGAGATGTGTCCGGTTTTTGAGAGGGTGTCCATCAACCATATCATCAGCATACTCAACCAAAAGACAGTCGTTAGGCGATCTTAGATCATGGGTGTGGGGATAGAATGGAACCTTGAAGAACTTCGCAGTTATTGGGAAGGACCGTAGATTTCCGCTTGCCAGATTGAACCAAATGAGTGCGGGAAGTAAAATAATCGCTAAGCCAAGAGACGACCCAGTCTGTAGAGCCGCACACAGATGTTTTGTTAAGGAGGAGAGGGCGCGGGATGGTAGTTAAAGCGGAGGAGTAGTCAAGCAAACCCACATGCGTACAAGCGGCAACGCTTATCTAATTCTTTTAGGGCAGAGTGGAACACATGAGCAACAGCATCTAAAGTACAACGTTTGGCTTTAAATGCAAATCGTAGAGGATCTGTGAAACTGGACGAGAATGGCTTTATTGTATCTAGGACAACGCTTTCAGCAAACCTTCATTAGTTAGGTCTCCTACCGTATCGAATGACTAACATTCAAGCTACCTTCGACACATAACTACCACATTACAGGTGATTAAGTGGACCATTAATTGCGCCAACTTGTGAAATTTCGGAACTTGACTGGAGACGATACATCCAGCTCGCTGATAATTAATAATCTCAGGGTCCTTCTTGTTCACGTGTGATCCTAGTTGATCATCATCACCGTCTTCGAGACACGATGCGATGGCCGTGTGAGTATGTCAGATACCGTTCCTGACCTACCTCATGGTGGATAGGCACGAACTGCGTATTCGAGTCCTCGTAAGCACGAACTACCCACTCTGCATCCATGAAGGTTACACTGGGTCGAAGGAACGACCCACTTCAAAAGATGGCAGAGTTTGGCTTCCACCGTCATCGTAGAACCACCGACATGATCTTCGCCGCCCCTCAACTGCAGGAAAAGTGTCAGGAGATGCCGACCCACTTCAACACTACCCCCGTAGATCTGACGAAAGATTTCGACATGGTGAATCGTGACAGACGGTGAAAAATTAAGCAGAAACTCGTCTGTCCCGAGGGATTCGCTGAGGTGGTGTATCACCTCCAAGATGGCATGATGGCGCGAGTCACGGACAGTGGATCTGTGTCAGTGGCATTCGCTGTGACCAACAGTGTGAATCAGGGCTGCGTTTTCGCACCTACTCTCTTCAGTCTCATGTTCTCTGCCATGCTGATGGACGCCTACCGTGACGAACGCACTGGGATCCGTATCGCCTACGTAATCAGTGATGGTGGCGACGAGGGGCCCACGGGAATAAGCAGAATATTCTTGCCTCCTTGGCGCCTGTCGCAGATAGCGGATGCTGACGGAATGGGCCTTCTCGTAGGCACCAAACATTTGATTTTTGCGGCGGGCCCTGAGGCCAATTCGGAAGGAGACGAGCAGTCCTTAGCGTCAACCAAGTCCAAGGGGATTGAACATGCATGCTCTACAATGATTCCGATAGGAGAAGATGCAGTTGGATTTTTAAAATTGCAAAATGCCCAATATTATCTGGCACAGCATAAATGCAGATACATGTGCAATTAGTCCTGACGGACAGGGCGCATCGACCTGTAACACTATTTAACTGTGGATGCAAAATCAATGAAGACATGCCCAATATTAAGAGGGCTCTGGATTTTGTCCTACTCCAATGCAGGTCTCTTCTCGAAGGTTCGCGTACCAGGTCGGTCACGGTTGATGAAAAATGCAATCTTGTGTCTCCTTCTTCAAGACTACTTCCTGGGACTCGGCTCTTCGCTTCTTACGTTCTTTGCCTACCGTGACGAACGCCCTGGGATCCGCATCGCCTACAGGACGGACGGCCAACTCCTCAATCACTGGCGGATGCACTTCCAGTCGCATGTATCCACAACTACCGTCCATGAACTTCTCTTCGCGGAAGATGGTGCTCTCAACGCGACCACATAAAGGGGCATGGATCTCATCGCCGTCGCCGCCGCCGCCGCCTGCGACTACTTAGGCCTGTTCATCAACACGCAGAAAACGGTGGTTATGCATCAACCGTCACCCACGGCTGTCTACGTCGCACCCCAAATCAACCTGAACGGCGCCCAACTCCAAGTCGTGGACAACTTCGCCTATATTGGAAGCACACTCTCGCGCAACACAAACATCGAGGACGAGGTTGCACGTCTGCTGTCCAAAGCCAGGCTGTAAGCTTCCGTGTGGAATCGCCACGGTCGCCAAATGAGCAGCAAACTCAAGATGTACAAGCGGTCGTCTTGACAGCACTTCTGTACGGAACGGAGACCTGGACTGTCTACGCCAGCCATGCGGTGAAGTTTAACCACCGGGCTCCGTTCTCCTGGTCGCCAGTCTGGTTGTTATCTCATGACGCCTTCTGTCAGCTTAACTAACACCTCCTGCCAGTTGCAACGCACGTGACATGGCCACGTCGTGGAGACAGCTTGAGACCAATCGGCGTTGTGTCATTTGCTGATCGGGATTGTAGGCGGACAAAGGTCATGTGTGCACGCACGCACGCACCTCGGCGCACATCCAAAGGTTGGGCCTCGCCTCGCTGAAACAATTCTCGCCACTGCCTTCCAATCAACTTCTGCAGCCCCCGTCACATGCTGTGTCTCAATCGTCTGTTTCCACAGCAATCAACACCTCCTTCATTTCCATGTGCGTACCTCTGGGTACAACCATTCCATTGTGCGGTTAGCTGACAATGCCCACTATCAAAAATGCATGCTCCAACTCCTGGCCATTATTATTACTTTTATTATTATTATTATTATTCAGTTATGTCCCGCCAGGCGCACGAAATTTCTTGCGCCCAACCCAGAAGGCACCGCCGTCCATACCATACTACCACATCTCTCTTCACCAGCATCTACTCTAAACATGACCACACTCAACACCACACCACGCTGGCACGTGATTGGCACATCTCTCCTCGAAAGCTGCAAGTGTTTCCCGGCTCCTTCTGCATGTGGCCCCTCTGGTGCATGTGTGATCCGAGCCTGAGACTGTCACGATGCGTTAAACTCCGTGATGACTTGCAAGACTGCCAACTACCGTTGGAACTCAGGCCTTGCATTTAGCCCCAAGGTACGTTTGTGCTCAAGGGTCGACTGGTGGACTGAGAGTCAGGCTGGAATGCCTCCTTCTCGACGTGACCTCTGACACTCTCTCACACACACTTGAAATGCATGTCGCCCACCCCCTTGTGTGTGAGATCCTGACGCTTGTGTCTGGGGAGGGGGAGGAGGATGGAGGGGTCAGGTCATGTGTGTGGCACGTCCAGGCGAAGTGGCTAGATTTGTCGGTCATAGCGTCCACTCCCACCTGACCAGCTCGGAGTGCGATTGGGACTGAGGAAGTAAGACACATAACTAACACATTTCGGAACTTGATAGGAGACTATGCCTCCAGATGGCTGATAATTCATTGTTTCAGGGTGTCTTGTTGTTCACGTGTGATCCGAGTTGATCATCATCACCGACTTCGAGACACGATGCGATGGCTGTGTGATCATGACAGATACCGTTCCTGACCTATCTGATGATGAATAACCACAAACTGCGCACTCGAGTCCTTGTAACGCACGAACCACCCACCCTGCATCCACGAAGGTTACACTGGCTCGAACGAACGACCAACCTTCAAAAAAAGGCAGAGTTTGGTTTCCGCCATCACCGACATGATCTTCGCCGCCCGTCAACTGCAGGAAAAGCGTCACGAGATGCCGACCTAGTTCTACTCCACCCTCGTGGATCTGATGAAAGACTTCGACATGATGCATCGTGACAGACGGTGGAAAATTATGCAGAAAGTCGTCTGTCCCGAGCGATTCACTCAGATGGTGTGTCAGCTGAACGACGGCATGATGGCGCGAGTCACGGACAATGGAGCTGTCTCGGAGGCATTCGCTGAGAACAGCAGAGTGAATCAGGGCTGCGCTCTCAGACCTAGCCTCTTCCAACCCGTTGCGTGGCACTTTTCTACCAATCAGTATAACAGTTCTGCATGCGCAGATAGCGCGAACAGCAAGGGAGTTCCACCCTTTTCGAACTATCTCGGGTCCTCTGCTCAGGGCAATTGCGTCGGCAGTACCCACCCTATCCCCCTCCCTCTTCCCCACACACACACACGCACACACACACACACAGTAATCCGCTTATCTGCCACTCAGAATAAACGACAACAATCTCCGGGTCAGATCTCATTTCGTTGCCTTACCTGCTGTAGACAGACCCCAGCCTAACCCCATTACCCTAACCCCAACTCCAACCCACAACCCTGATACCTAATCGCAGTCCCTAACCCTAACCTCCAACATGTACGGCTACGAAATAGGATCTTGCCCATCTCCGAGATACTTTGCAGTGAATCATTTTATTTTAGTGAATAGATTTAAGAATAAAGTTTTCGACAGAGGACTGAAAGAAATCAGCATGCAACTTGTGTGGCAGCTGCCAGCCAGCCTTCTGATCCGCGTCAGACCTGGCGGGCCAGAGGGTTGAACAGCAGCCCGAACAGGCGAGGAGAGCCGATTCAGTCGATTGGCTGTTGGCATTCTGGTGTCGCCTTGCCTCAGAGTGCCGGGATGCAATGTGCAGTAGTGGCATCCCGAGGAGACGCTGCGGCAGACAGCGGAGATCGGCAGGACCCATACGTCGCATCTCTTTCGTCTCAACGTAGGCAGGCCAACTATCCCGCATGTACGCTCTACCATAGACAGCCTGCAGCGGAAGACGACGGCTGTCTGGCAAGAAGTCCACCGAACCGGGGGTGCCTCCCATAATCTGACCACCATTCACCGATCCGTCCTCTGCGCCAATATCTTCCTCCAGCTCCCAGACCACCAAGCCCTCAATCGAGCCTGAATGCATGAATTAAGCTTCCTTCGTATGTCGGCGTACAATAAGCAGGTAGCAAATGGAAAAGACTTGACGGTAGCACGCTGATCACACACACACACGAAATAATAATAATGATAGCATTTCCCATCATTCACATGTTCATCACAGACGGTACGACTACTCTACACATGTGTTTGTGTGTCCTCCAAACGAGATACGCGTTAGATGCACTGGACCAACACGGGAGCCATATTGGATTCTGGCAGGCGTTATCGGATCGCACACTATAACAAATGCCAACATTTTCGGGGTGCTTTGGCAGACCCTGTTGTCGGCAGTCGTCGCACAACTGGACCACTGCCTTCACCCCATTGTTTTGTGGTCAAAATCCTGGTCATTTGTTTTGTGGACCTGGGGGTGCGGAGTGAAGCGCCAAGGTGAGGAT